AGCAAAATTTAACAGAACAGCAAGCAACAAATGCTGGTGAGGTTGTGGAGAAACTGGAACCCTTATTTACTGTTGGTGGAAGTGTAAAATGGCCCAACCACTGTGGAAAGTGGTGTATTATATACCGTTTCAAGTTTCTGAGCTTTATTCCTGAGCAAATGTTGTCCTTTTGTTCTTATATGGTTGATCATTCTAAGGAGTGAGTACCTCCCTGGTATTATTGTTTGGCTTAAAGTTGAGTCATAGGGGGTGAAGACTGGACAGTTCCTCTCTCCCCCATCCCATTTATCTCTACCAAAATTTTGAGAAATTATCACCTGTGTTTTCATTTTCATAGTTAACAATTAAGGTAACACTTGCCAACTATTACAAGGATGCTTTCAGTAGTATGTAATGATGTTTGTGAAATTCTTTGAACTGCTAGAAGAAAAGTATTAATAAATGGCAAAGAACAAACCAGTTAAATTGTGCACTCTTTGATGAAGGGTGGATGATTTAAGAGAGCACTGAGTTATTAAGATTAATACAATACTCTGAAATACTAACAGGAGAATTACTCCACAGCTCTATGATACATAGCAAGTGATTGCAAAGACCATGGCATGTATTAGGCGCACCTTAGTCTCCAGACTGACATCTTTGCACTTCAGCACTTTAGAAAGGTCTCTAACCACAGACTTACCCCATCGCAATATGTCTTTTAATTTCCTGGATTTTGCTGACTCGATGGTACCCAACAAAATTATCAGAGGTATCTATCTAGTTGTAGAGAGTGTAAGAACCAGTTTAGGAAATACGTCTATTCCCTTAAGTCTTTCTCATGGCTCAGAAGTTCCAAGGCAGGCAAAGCATTATAGTTACAGCTTTTAGAGCTGTCAACTTACAACTAAACAGGTGGAGTGATTGCCAGCTACACTTAAAAAAAAAACAACAACACAAAACTTAAATACTGTTTTGGCAAAGTTACAAGTTAAAATAATGAAATAAATTTTGAAAATAGATATTAAAGGAAAAAGAAACTCAAGATATTATTTTCAAGCTATTCAAGCACTCTCATCCTCCCAGATTTTTCATGGTTGAAAGTATTTTTCAGCTGTGGCACAATCTCCTGTAAATGAATTCTGGTTTAGCTACTTTTTGAGAGATCTTCCTGGAAGCTATGTTATCTGGATCACACATGAATACTTGGACTTTGTGCATTTATTTAGACTTTGGTTCAAATAGTTTCTTTTTCCTTCTGGACAGTTTGGACTGCTACTTCATGCCCTTTGCTTTGAGGTGTTCCCTAGGGATTAAAATTCAAGTTGCATCATAAAGGCTTATTTATCGCACATTCTTTATTCTAATTGATGTGCATATTCCACTACTTTGCAAATGGTTGAAAATTTGTCAGTAACTTTGATGCTGGTTCGTTCCTAACATGTGAATGTGACAACTGTTTTTGGGTTGGGTCTATCAAAATTAAAGAATACAACTATGGCAAATGAAGTCAGTGACATAGGGTTTAACCTTCATTTCCAGCTTAATATGTCTTCTGCCTGATTTCTTAAATACTGTGTCTGCTTCTTAAATAAGACATTACTGCATCTGGTTTAATATCACTGAGAGAATTCAGAAAGCAGGAGAGGATGGAGCTACCTATAGAAGGATAGTTTTAGAAAGCAAACTAATAAATCCTGGCCTGTTCTCTATGAGGTAGATTTTTAATATTTTTAGATGGTGAAAGGCTTAAAACTGTGAATAGTTTAATCTTGATTGTATTAACAATCAACACCTTGGCACCAGCAGTAAGGAAATAAGTATTGCATTGTGCAAGTCAGCTATCAGAAAGCTCTCCAGTATGCTGAAGAGTAATAAGTTTGAAGGCTAAGGTGAACTTAATTCAGGCTGGACAAGGAATAAGGATAAGAGAAGAATTGATGTTTTTGGCTTGTGGTGCTGGAGAAGAGTACAGAATATCCCATTGACTGACAAAAGAACAGGCCTATTTTGGAAAAAAAATGCAGAGTGCTCCTTGGAGCAAAGATGGTATAGTTTCGTCTTTCATACTTTCGACATGTACCTAGATGAGGATATTCCTTGGAAAGAAACATCATGGTTGGTCAGCAAAGGAGAGAAAGACCCCCAAGAAGATGAACTGACATGGTGACTTCAACAAAGGACTCTAGGGTCAGAGATGATGAGGACGACACTGGCTGGGCAGGGCGGGGTCCAGGCCGGCTGTTTATAAGGTCTCTATGAATTTGTACTTCGCTGGATGACACCTACCTACAACTCATGAGTCATCGGGTTAGCTTTCAAACACTGTTTATCCTTTTCAGCGCAAATGATACGCTCTGTGAGAGTCAAAATGTCTCAAAAAACCCCACCCCAAATCACTTCTGCAGGAACTCAGCCTTCTTTTCGCCCACAAGCAGCCGCTACTACAGTTCCCGGCAAGCACCGCGAGAGCCGCAAAGGGTCAGACCCTGGCTTGGGGTTCCGTTCAGGCGTGGGGCATGCTGGGAGTTGTAGTTCATGAGGGACTACTACTAGTACTACTACTAGTACTACTACTAGTACTACTACTAGTACTACTACTAGTACTACTACTAGTACTACTACTAGTACTACTACTAGTACTACTACTACTACTACTACTACTACTACTACTACTACTGTGGCTTTTTCTTTATATTGGGCATTGCCCATAGAATCTGCTGACGTTCTTCCAGAACGGGATCTCTTATTTCCTTGTCCCAGCTAAATACAGCAGAGAAATGTCCCCTCCAGCCCTGTGATGTGTATTGTGTTTCTCATGCAAAGCTGAGTCCTACCCTCGTCCACACCCATTCCCCTGACACCTTGGCGTGGCCCGAGCAGCTACCACTGTGGGAGGCGCGCAGGCGCACCGACTCCTCGACGCACTATGATGGTCTCCGGGAGTGGGCAGGGAGACACGACTTGGCTCGGGGACGCGCACGTAAGTACGCAGCGGTGTCACGTGGGCGCCGAAGATCGCAGTGCGCGCGGCCGGGGCGGCGGGTGTGAGACTCGGAGGTGCTGACCGATTGTACGGCCGGCCGGGCAGGCGACAGACCAGCGGGTGAACGTAAGCCCTGCGCCGTAGGCCTGGCCCTGTCCTTGAGTCAGGCTGTAGCCCCGTTGCCGTCGTCCTCCCCCACCCCCACCTGCAAACCGCCGCTGCGAGCGCGCCCCCGTCTTGCGCTCCTCTCCGATGGCGTCCGCCTCCGGGGCAATGGCGAAGCACGAACAGATTCTGGTCCTTGACCCGCCCACAGACCTCAAATTTAAAGGTAGGCAGGACGAGGGTACTACTCGCGACCTCAGAAGGGCAAGCGGTGGATGCTTAGGGAATATCGGCGGCCCGGCCCTCCTCCACGCACAGTCATTTAGCTTCCCATCGTCTTTCACGGCCTCCTCTTCCCTCCCGCCGGACCTTGGGCGCGCGCGGTCTGGTGGGCGGGGAGGCCGCCGCCAACCGGGCCCGCCGCCGCCGCCATCTTGGTCCCCGGGAGCGCCGCCCCGCCGTGGGTCGTGGGCCTCCGGACCGTGAACCTCACAGGATGTGGGCCTCCGGATCGTGGTCTTCCCGAGCTGTTAGACCTCCTGGGCCTTGTTCCTCCCTGGCCGTGTGCCTCCGGGTCGTGGACCTTCTGGGCTGTAGGCCACCCCGCTGTGGGTTTCCCAGGTCCGTGGACCTCCCGGGCCTTAGACCACCCGGCTGTGGGCTTCCCGAGCTGTGGACCGCCTCATGGCGACCGTGGGCTTGCTCGCCGTCGTCCCGTCTGGCCTCGCCTTGAGGGTGCAGTGGGCTGCCGGGCTCGAGGGTGGAGCATGCCACATCGCTGCACGCTCGGCCGCCTGGGCTCCGGGACGCGGGCGGACGACATGGATTGTGTGGGTCGTCTCTTCTCCTGACGTGACTTGTCAGTTTACTCTCCATCGAGGGCAGACTCGGGGTTTGTGCAGGTTCAGCCTCTTCCCTCGCGCTGCGTAATCCTGTGTTGGTGACTTTTATCCTTAGGCTTGCCAGTAAACCCCGTAAAAGTCCTGGAAGGTGTCACCCGGCCTTGCAACTTCGTTGATTGATTTTGTAGCAATAACTGCGGTACACTTGATAAGATTAACTTTGAGATTCCCGAGGCATCTAGGCGCTCTTTGGCCCGTTTATTTTTCACTATGTTGAGTACTTTCGGGAAGAGTTGTTGGACAGAGTTTTGGAGCGGTACCAGTGGCAAAGGGGTCTGTCTGGTTGGTGAAGATACGTGAAAGAGCCGTTTTCTCTGGACTTCACTTAAATGTGAGTGAGCTCCCTTTCGGGAGCCAGTCTCCTCTATTTCACTTTAAGTAGTTACGGCAAGAACAGTTTTTTGTGATAGGTTAGCAGTTAAGTGCCAAAGGGCAAAGGTAAGACCTGTTAGCGGTTTAAAGTTGAATCTAAAGCACAAATTCTTTTCAGGAGGAAAATTTTTGAACAATATTAGAAACCATACATTTGTAGATTTCTTTGCATTGGAATTGAGGATCTTGTTTCGTAAAGATTTGTGTTAGAACAGCTTTTAAATATTTTACAGTGAGCGTATTTATTTAGGACAAGTTTATATGTTCTGCATGATTTTACGTAGTTGGGAGAAAAGTAACCTTTGGGGATCTTGAAATTACCAAACTCAAATAACTATTACCTTAAGTTGAAGAAATTTTAATGTAAAATTTCATGAGGTTCCAGGGTTTTTTAAACTTCTGTGTTTTTAACGTTTGAGAGCACAAATTTTTTGAGGAAACTTACGAAATACATGTATATTGCCATTGTTTTTGTTATGTGCAGTGGACAACAGCCCTAAATCGGGATCTATCCTGTGCCAATCTTACTGTCTTTGACACACCTACCCCTCATTACTGAATTAGTCCATCTCAAGGTCTTTCTCTCCTGCACTGTCCCTGCACTCTCCTGAGCATGACTTCTCTCTCCAAGGACTGCCATTAGTCAGGCAGTATCATCAGAGTTTGACTTTTAATTGGTAGAGAAGTTGTGATGTTTCCAGAAACAAGTTTGGTGTTGGTCAGTTTTGGGATTTTTTTTGAACAACAATCAAAAACCATACAACCACACACAACTCAACTTATGTGTCTTCAAGTTGACTATGACTCATAGCAACTATGAAAAACAGCTCTGACTGAACCTTGCCCTCCCTGCAGGTTAACACAACTTAGTAATATAAGTCATTTATTTTGAATACTGAAGATTTGTAGTTGTGGTTAGAATTCTTTATCAGTGAAACCAGGGAACTCTGATGGCCTAGTGGTAATCTACAATCCTAAAGGCACAGGGTACGAATCCATTAGCTGCTTCTCCTGGAGAAGGATGAGCAGTCTCCTGGGTGATTTACTGCTTCTGAAAACTTGCTGGAGGGCCGGTTTGTCTCAATAGCACACAACAACACGACATCCATAAAAGTAATTTACAAGGTCCATTTTTTTAAGTACCTCAACAGCACACAACAACAACAACAACAAATCCATAAAAGTAATTTACAAAGTCCATTTTTTTTAAGTTTGAAGATCAGTGACTGTCTTTTAAAATGAATTTTTAAAACTATAGAGTGACTTTTATAGAGGTGTGCATTAACTTTTGACCATTTTTTTTAGTGAACATTTAATGAGAATTTTGTGTCATTGCTATATAGGTAACACTTCATTTAGGAGGGAACACACATATTGCGGTCTTTTTAAATATCTCAATTATTTTACTATGGCAGTGCATAATTTGCTGCTGTTACCAGATGTAATGTTTAAAACCTTAAAGACAAACATCAAATTTATAAAGACATTGATAGTAAAAGGCAATAAAAAATTTTCAGGGAGGCAGTGAGGTCAGGACTGACTTAAGCTGGGGTAATCAGCAGGGTAGTTTTTAATTATGGTGGTGGTGGTTGTTGTTATGTGCCGCTGAGTCATAGCAACCGTATGTAAATCAGCTCTGAACCCTTAAACAGTTTAATTGTCTCTGACACACCTACCCCCATTTCTCCAGTCATGAGTCAATCCATCTACTCTAGGGTCTTCCTCTCTTGGCTGTTCCTCCACCCTTCCAAGCACGATGTCCTTCTCCAAGGACTGCTCCTTCCTTACAGTAAGCTCAAAGAATGTCAGATGGTGTTTCAAAATCCTTGCCTCCAAGGAGCACCGTGGTTTCACCTCCAGGACGAACCTCTTTGTTCTCAACTCCATGGTATATATATTCAGTACTCTTCTCTGGCACACAACTCAAAGGCATTGATGATTCTTCTGGCATTCTTAGTCATTGTCCAGCTCTCTGATGCATAGCAAGTAATTGCAAAGACCATGACTTGGCTTGGGCACACCTTAGTCTCTAGACTGACATTCTTGCTCTTCAAGTACTCTGGAGAGGTCCCTGACAGCAGATCTTCCCAGTGACGTTTGTCTTTTGATTTCCTGGCTTCTGGTACCAAGAGTGTTGATTGTGGAGCCAAGTAAGCTGAAGCTGTTAACAGTCTTAGTCTTATTACCATTTATCATGATGATGCCAGTTGGCCCAGGGGTGAGAATCTTTGTTTTCTCAATGTTGAGCTTCAATCCATGATGAAGGCTGTAGTTCTTGACCTTCTGTAGCAAATGTCCTTACTAGCAAGCAAGGTTCTGTCATCTGCATAATGCAAATTGTTGATGAGTCTTCCTTCAATCCTGGTACCGCGTTCTTGCTCATAGAACCCAGCTTTCCGGGTATCCCATCCTAAATTGGAGAATACTTCTTTTAACAATGGATGAGTCATTCAGCAAGTTTGTTTGTAAGTTTGGGGTTTCAGTGTTAACCATGATAAAGACTCAAAGTTAGTTGCTATTGTAATAGGAAATGCGAACAGTTAATAAAATAGGTTTTATCTTGCCTTGGAATTCTTAAAACTAATAAGTTAGACATAAAGGACAGGTAGAACACAATAAATGTGTGCATAAAGGTTCCCTCCTTACTTTATGAAACCATGAAGGAAGAAGCTGGCTTTTAGTTGCATGGTGACCTGGAGGTGTACGTTGGGTTGGTGATCGATATTGGACAAAGGTTGAGTAAATGCAAGGACTCCAGAAAATTAGTTGCATGTGCTTTAAAGGGCAGTAAGTTGTGTGCTGTAGTTTAAAAGTGAGGGTAATGTGAAGAGTTGGGAGAGAGACAAAGGATATGAATTAGGAGGTCACTTGAGTCATTTGATTCCTCCATCCTTAATGTTACTCAAAGGGAAATAATTTTAATTAGAGGAAAATAATTTCCTTTGACAGAAACCTCTATTCAGAAGCAAAGTTCTATTTCAAGTGAGGAAACAAATTTAGAATCCAGTCTGCTTATGCTTAGTTTGATGATAGAAGAAATCACTTTACGCTGGTTTGTCGTTTATCACTTTTAACCTTTAGTTTAAATCAATATCTTTGCCTAGAAGATAGTTTTGCAATATTTTCTCATTTTTTTGTTGGTTTGCTTTGAATCTACATTTGATTAAAATGATTTTTTAGGGACTGATTCATTTAATAATTTGGAGATTGGCTAGTGAGGTTTTCTGTTTGAGGCAGCACTTTGAACAATCTTTGAGAAGCCAAAACCAGTTCAATACATTTTCTGTACTAAAATGTTTTAGTTAGTTTCACTGTATCATTTTTTGTATAATTGTTAATATTGAAGGTGCTTTTATGAAAACATTCTGAATCTTTTATTGAGTAAAGAAAAAGATATTTTCAGTTGTTCAGACGTTGGCAAGAATTGACATAAAACTCAGATTTGAGATTTGGTATTATGTGTGAGAATGTTTTCTTTTTCTTAAAATATTCTGTAATTTCATGTTGCATTTTTCATATTTTGTTAGCAGTTATGGAGGATATTTTGAGGGGAAAAAGTTTAGAAAATGCTGAATAAGTTCTGAATATGTCATTCCTCCTAATGATCTGGGATTATTATATTGAAAGTGAGTCAGAACAATAATAAACTATTTAAATTCTTTTGGGTGCCAAAGATATTATAGTGTCAACTAGAATATCGTTAGATAGTGCAACTATTTGGAGCATAAATGAGGATATAGAATATCCTACTTCTAGTGAATGTGTGACACATTTTTAGACCAACTTTTACTATTTCACAAGGAGCTGTGGTGTCATAGTCTGTAACATATTGTGCTGAACCAAAAGGTCTCCTATCTATAGATGTTCAAATCCACAAGTGACTCTGAGGGTGAAAGATGGATATTCTCCTCCCGTTAAGTTTTATATCCTTGGATACCTGATGTAAAGTTGC